CAAGCAATTAGAAACTAAGCTTTATAGATTTATAAGATGAAACAGAGTAAATAAGCTTTGAGTCAGGGCTTTTAATAAGAAGTTAAACACATGGGCTTTTAATATAAGCATTTGCGACAATTATTTCCTAAGCTCAGGGGACTACTGGGCTTGTTTTCAGAGACAAAGTTAACAGAAGCATAACATGGACAAGTTGGGTATTACTATTCATTTTTAATCAACTATACAAGGCACTTAAATGCTTACTCAGTTTTTTTAATGAGAATTCTATGCAATTAATGAGGAAAATATCTCTCTAAATTTTATTATAGGTTTGTGTCTGTATTATAATGTTCAGAGCTTATGAAAATCCAGAGAAGAAGGATACCTCATGTGTGTTAAGCTGGGCACCTTTACATAGGTTACCTCGCTTAATATTTACAATAGCTTTTCAAGGCAGTAATAGTGTATTTCCATTTAACAGATGAGGAAACTAGGGCTCACCCAAAGTCGCATAGCTAGGAAGTAAGTAAACTGGAATTTCAATCCAGACTTACCCGGCTTGATGCACTTTTTACCACACCATACCATCTTTCAATCTGAAACGGCCCTGGACGTATCAAGAACTCGCCGGACTCATTTCCTTCTCACCACTTACTCTGAGGGCATCCTATCACCACTGCTTGGCTTGGTAAAGCACTCAAACTTGCCTTACTTGGTTATTGCATCTAATGGCTACCATGGGAGAACTTTCTGACTCAGAGTCCCCTTTTCTCCTTTAGGAGGAGTGGACCCTTTCTGCATCTATTTTCCCACTTCCATACAGTATTCACAGCTCAGTGAATTTCAACCCATTCTTTTTTTATTGGGTTATATACACCCACTTAAACTATCTTCCTTCCTCCATTCTTTCTTCAAACCCTTACCTCTCCTCTTTCCTTTACTTTCCCATTTCCATTTGGAAATAACAATAATACTAATAATAATCCTAAATATGGCTGATAAATGTAAAATTAGTGCTAAAGGTACATCTGTAGCAAAGAAAAGAAGGCTGTTAATTTTAAAGTAAAAATAGATTTGAAGATTTGTGCCATAATACTCTAAATTTTAAAGGACACCTAGTTCCCTCGCAGAATAACACGAGTATCCATCTGCAACTTTATCTTTAATTTAACTTGCATTCAAGCATTCAAAAAAACAAACAAGTATTTCTCATTTAAAGATACTACGTTTTTGTTTTTATTAAGTTTTATTTATTGAGTTTGGCAGTAATATTATTTCCCATCAATCTTTTACTGAACAAAGCATTACTTGAACTATATACTATGAATCAATATGGATTGTAATTGACAAGCTTAGAAACCTAAACATCATTGTCTTTGCGATGAAAATAATTTCCCACTCAAAATGTTCTCCCAAATTAAACAATACTCAAAGGGACATATTCTGAAAACAAGTTTTAAAAAAGAAGCTAGATTTCACAAATTATTTCTGATCCAAAGCATACTCAAGAAATTCAAGAAATGCCAGTTAGCTTAATTTAGATATTAACATTTCTAACCTATGTATGAGTCAGTAAGAAATTGCAAGTTAAAAGTATCAGCATTAGAAGTACACCCACTCCTCATTTATCGACATGGTTAGGTTCCAAAGACCAGGTCGTTATGTGAAAATCGGTATTACACAAAAATGGAGGATGACCACATCAGATCACAAAATGGAGGATGACTACATCATTACATAACTGGCAGATTATATCATTACATAACCGCCAAACCACTGAGAATCATGGCCCAGCCAGGTTGACACATAACCTTAACCATCACAGCTGTTACTCTCGCCTTGTACCTCAGCATTTGTTACTGTCAGACATACATCATTAATGTGCAAAATAGTCAGATTTTTTACTATTGTCGTAAATGCAAAATGTTGAATAATGAGACAGTCGACAAGTGAGGAGTCAGTGTATAAATATCAGTTTCAGGATCATTTGATTAAATGAAGCAAGAGATGAACTCCATTATCAATACCAGAACCTTTAACAAATTTGTCATTTGTCATTTCTAAAAAGTTCTACTGTTTTCTATTCTCGCTCATCCTTCAGAAGTATAATTTTGATCTAAGCAAAAACTGCCTCATCTCTAATTTAAAACAGAACCTACTTCTTGTCTAGGCACATTCCACATTTAGAATCTTTTTCAAATATATCTTTGCATAACAACCATTTTGGGTCCATAAAGCATATCTTGTAAACTGTACCCTTGCTGATTTTAAAAGTGCTGTTGTTGTGTGCTATCGAGTCAATTCATTGAAAGTGTTACTATTTCAAAACATACAAATAGAAGCATCATTCACAATAAAGGCAACTGGATAAAATGGCCGGCCTTTCTGATTAGTGCTACCAAAAATAAAAGATGTTCAAATAATAAACACGTTAAGATCAATCATTTTATACAGTATGACAATAAAAAAGAAACTATGATGAGCTTTTAACCACAGAAAAATAATTTATAAATTTTAAGTCAAAGTTAACAGGCATTTCTGTATCTATACTGAAGCCTCCCTCACATAAAGCATAATCTAAGTATATTCTGCATTCCAAGTAATTGTCACCAATGTGTTCTAAAACAATGTAAGAACAAAAAATAGTGGTATTCAGAATTAAAACATCAAACATATGGCAACTTAAACTGTTATGAAACAACTGTAATTTATTTTAAAAGAGGGAGGGTTAAGAGGGTCAAGCACAAAAGAATCCTACATTCTGCTAATCTAGTTGTTACATCTATCATATTTTATGCCAATATCAACAATTCAAATATTAAAATGCAAATACAGGTTCTATTAGGAAACTGAATTTTCTATACTCTTGCATAATAAAAAGGAAGACAAAAAATACTTCTTAAAACAAACATCCCTGTACACTATCAATGAATGTTAAAAAATTAATGGTTATTTTAATATTTACTATATAGTAATCAGGACTTATTCAATAACAGAAGAACTGTTAACTATATAAATCAACATTATTTTGCCTTTTTAACAAATCAAATCAATGCTATCTCACGTTAATAGTACAAACCCTATTTGTGAAGTACAATAGGATTAAAGATGCCTTCATTGCCATCAAAGCCAAAAACATCTCTACTGTTTTATAATCATTTAACAATAAACTTAAATCAACAGACCTAATACAAAAACTGTATACAAGTATGAAACAAATTTATGAAAACTAATTGCTATGTGAAGTCTTTTTTAAAAAGGTACCAAGTATAATGTATACTGACATAAAATAAGGTAGAAAATTGACAACTTGAGTTTCCAACTCTTTAATAAATTGTGTGATAGAAATATATAATATTTGATACTTGTTTCAAAGTATATATTATTCACAGTATTCACATTAAGACAAGCACCATAAAATGTAATGTATAATAAAATATTTTTCATCTAGAAAGTATGATTTAAAGTATTTAATGTCTTTGGGAACAAGTTGTTCTGATTATATCTAAATATTTAGAACAGATTCTTTAGAATTAGAAGCAATCTTTTACACGTCATTTAGCTTTATACAGTGAAACTCATGAGAGCCGGAACTCTATGGGATTGCTTTCTTTTTCCTGGTCTTGCAAGTTTTCCGCCTTTGACAGGGTGCAGTCTTACCACTTCTCTATTACTGGAAAATATTTTTGTGTTCCTTCTCTTGACAGGTTGCCGCCTTAAACAGGTTTCAGCTTTCGCAGATTTTACTGTATGTAGCTAAAAAGACCTTCCCACCCACAGCCCCTCACTCTTGCTTTAAAGCGAGTCTAAAATTTTAGACGAATCACTTCAACTTAATGTCAATAAAACAAAATGATGAATTATTTCAAGTCAATTTTAACTTTCAACATGTTACCCCATCTTATGATAACAAGACTAGCAGTGTTTAGTCAACGAACCATGATGACTTTCCAAATTATTGATGAATTTACAAAGTATTGTTGGAGGCCAAAAGTTAATGTCTTCGGCAATAAAAATTATATTATAAAGTAAATCTAATACAAATCCTAACATGACAGACAGATTGCCGATCCCCAGAATGTCTTCTCCTTCTTACTCAATAACCAAATTTTAAGTGAGACACATAGCTACTAGGTTAAGACACATTTCTCAGTCTCCCTCGCAACTAGTTGCGGCCATGTGACTAAGTTATAGCCATTAGGATTACAGGAAAGAAGAATGGCCTCCTCTTTTCCATCTTCCTTTTGGCTAGAGTCAGACATGATGGTAACCATCTTGGATCAGAGTCAGAAGCCACATATTAAGAATGGCAGAACGAGACAAAGGAGCCTGGGTCATAATAATTTTAGAGTCTCCATAAAATCCCTGGATTGTTTACTTGGACTTTTCAAGTAAATATTTTTTAAGGTCTGTCTTTTTAAGCTTCTGCCACAACAAACAAATCTATATCCTAACTAATACATCTAATATAAATGACCACTTAATTAATTATCTACATGACTGCTTCTTTACATTAATGTAGACAAGCATACAATATGTACAAATATAAAAAAACTGGTATGTTCTTTTCACTTTTCAAAAATTATAAAGCAAATGCCATTAAATTTGACCAATAGACCTAATTCTCCCAAAAATGAAAATAGTGTTTCCCTGGAAATTCTGGAAAATATAATGTGTGTGCACGCATGCGCATTGGGATAGGGGTAAAAAATGCAATAACCTACTAAGGAAAAGGGTTAAACAAGAAAACAATCTCTCACTTAAAATTCACATAAGATTACATGATAAGCTACAGATGTTTTCTTAATATCTAAAACTATATCACTATTAACCAACTCTCCCTTAAAATTGTTTTCTGAAGAAAAAAATTAAATCTCACATTTCTTCCAGATATAAACACTAAACCGTAGAAAAACTACTGTACAAATTCAGTATGAAGTTCTAGCAATCAAAAAATGCTTTCATATTTGAAAAAAATCTACTTATATATGATTATGAAAAACAAGAATTGAAGTTACCTGAGACTAAGGTAAAAATGAAGACTTCAAGGAAGGGAATGCTGTAGAGTTGAAAAAGAAATCATGGTTGAGTTTCCACCTTTCACAGGCTTCAGAAACCCTCAATACCACCTTAATCACTTATGTCATCCAATTCCTATCCAAAAACAAAAACAAACAAACAAAAATACACATTACTTATAAGGGAAAAATACCATATAAGTACAATATGGTAAAGCAGGTATGAATACTAAAGTGATCACTCTTTGTAAATATTAAGCTATGTCTGAACGACCAAAGCACTGACTTGTTTTTAGGTCTGAAATTGGGAAAATATAGTAGTGGTAAGTGATTAACTGTAAAATAATCCTGGTCTTATAAGAATAATTTACCTAGATCTGGAGTCTATAGCTTCAGAGATATCAGATGTTTAAGGAAATTCACAGAGTTACAGACCTTACAGAGTTAAAGAGAAAGCAAAGATTAAAGAACCACTTAAAACACATTATTCGTATTTGCTTTATAGAGTCTGTGAAGTGAAGACAGAAATAAATAAACGTCTGGGCTTACAAACAACAAAAAGAACTAGTGGCATTCAGAATACACGTGTGTACACAACAGAAAGGACAAGAGTTGTAAAAATATATTAATACCTAGACACAGAAACATCATTAGTAATCTCTGGCAGGGAGAGTTGACAAAAAAGACAGGAATAGTGATATAGAAAGTGTGTACCATATCCAAAAAAACGAAGACCAGAGACTGTATGCAAGAAGGAAACTACCTGACTATTTCTGGGCATAGTAACAGCCTAAAGCATTTGTGGAATTTCCTACTCTGGAGGTATGTAAAAGTATTAGATTCCCATCTAGCAAGGATAGTCTGTACATACACGCAGTCCCCAAGTTATGAAAATCCGATTTACATACAACCTGTAGTTACAAACCAACCAATGGTTCATAATAACAAATGGGCGCTACTTTGTGACATGCATCAAAATGTTATTATTATGAGGTTAAAGATGTTTTAGTGAATCTGGAAGTGTTTATTTAGTGCTGTTATGCAAAGAAAGGTACTCTATATACTACATACTAAAACAAACATTTGATTAACTCATGTTAGATACAAACCATACCTAACTGTTCCAACTTAAGTACAAATTCGACTTAAAGACAGATTTAGGAACAGAACTTGTTCATAATCTGGGGACTGCCTGTAACCTTCAAAGGAAGCTTGGAGACCAGATAATATATTAATGATTTTATATCAGTTCCCAATGGTGCAAAGGCAAGAATAATCTTTCTTGTCTAGAGTAAAACCAGTAATAATTGCATCTTTGAACTTCAGAAACTATCATATTAATCATACTTTATTTTTTAAATATTTCAACATTGTATACATATTCTTAAGACATTTTAAACTCTAATAAAGCTATTCACCCCTCAGTACTTTTCCATTTCAAAATGTGGCAGGATATTCATGTTCGTCTATTTTTCCAGATAAACTTTTGTACAAAACAGAACTTGTTATTTTTTTCAACAGGATCATACCAAATATATGAATCAAAGTGAAATGACAACAGTATCAACAACAGCCTTGGGATCGGGGGAATATCACAATTCTGAGTTGTTACAATACATTATCTAAAATGCCCAGTTTTCAACAATAAATTATGATATATAAAGAAAAGGAAAGAGTGAACCTAATTCCCGTATTTTTACACAAATAATGTGTGTGTATATGTTTCTTTGCCAACCACACAACCCCTTGCACATTGTTTTCCTATGCACGATATGCATGTTATATGTGTGGGCATGTTAATTTGCGAAAAATATAACACTGGAAAAATAGCAGTCAATATAAAGTGTTTCTAAGTGCCCCCAGTTGCTGGTTTAAGCAAAGACTTCAAGCCAGCTATTATGTATGTGTTAAAAGAAATAAAACTAAGTTTTCAAAATTAAAAGAAATTATGGAACCAACAAATCAACAAATAGAGATTCTCAATAAGGGCACAGAAATTATTTAAAGAAACAAATGAAAATTCTGAAGGTGAAGAATACAATACTGAGATAAAACATTCACTACATGAATTTACTGAAGTGCAAATTCAAGACGGCAGACAAAAGAAACTATGACCTTAAAGGCATATCAATAGAAATTATCCAATCTGAAGAACAGAGAGAAAAGAATTTGAAGAAAAATGAACAGAGCTTCAAAGACCTGTGAAACAACACCCAGCTTACCAACATTTCTGGAGTCCCAGAAGGAGAGAAGAAAGAGAATGGCGTAGAAAAAGATGTTAATAAAACACTGGCAAAAATTTCCCAAATTTGATTTTCAAAAAAAGCAAAAACAAAAAATCAACTTACAGATCCAAGCAGCTCAATAAACCTCAAGGAGGAGAAACACAGAGACCTCCACCTAGACACGTCATAGTCAAAATGTCAAAGGCAAACGCAAGGAGAAAATTCTTGAAAGGAGCAAGAGAAAAATGACTCGGCATGCAGAGAAACATCAATACGATTAATGGATGACTTCCAATTAGAAACAAGAGAGGCCAGAAGACAGTGGAATCACATACTCAAAGTGTCAAAAGAAAAAAGCACTGTCAAACAAAAAAGCAACAAAACTACCCTTCAAAATGAAGGCGTAATAAAGATATTCTCAGACAAAGACTGACAGAAATTTGCTAACAGACCTGCCTTACAAGAAACACTAAGGGAAGTTCTTGAAGTTGAAAGGAAATGAAATCAAACAGTAACTCAAGTCCACCGGACAAAACAAAGAACACCAGAAATGGTAAGTACATGAGTTAATCTAAAAGAATCTATACGTGTATTTTCTCGTTTCTTCTCTTAACTTCTTTAAAAGACATAAGGATGCATAAAGCAATGATTACACCACTATATGGCTGGGTTGATAACATATATAGATGAAACATGTTGTTGTTAGTTGCCGTTGAGTGGATTCCAACTCATAGCAACCCTGTGTGTCCAGAATAGAACTGCGCTCCACAGAGCTTTCAAGGCTGTGAGCTTTCAAAAGCAGATGGCCCGGCCTGTCTTCCAAGGCGCCACTGAGTGGGTTCGAACTGTCCATCTTTTGGCTAGCAGTGGCGCACCTAACCATTTGTACCCCCCAGGAGGAGGGAGAGAATGGAGCCACACTGGAGCAGTTTCTACTCCACAGAACAACAACATGCATTATGTAAAGCACACGTGGCACTTTCCCCAGAATAAACCACATGCTAGGCCATAAAACAAGCATCAACAAATTTAAAAGGACTGAAGCCATACAAAGTATGTTCTCTAACCACGACAAAATTAATTATCAACTATACTGGAAACTGGGAAATCCTCAAATGTTTGAAAATTAAACTTCAAATTTCTAAATAACCTATGGGTCAAAAGGGAAATTAGAAAACATTTTGAAAAAAATGAAAACAAAAACAAAACATATCAAAATTTATAGAAAATATATCAAAATTACTCAGAAATTTATAGCCTTAAGCACACTTATTAGAAGAGTCTCAAATCAATAACCTAAGCCTCCACCATAAGAAACTAGAAGGAAAAACAAACTGAACCCTAAAGCAAGCAGAAGAAAGGAAATAATAAAGATTAAAGCAGAAATTAATAAAATATGAAACAGAAAAAACATTGGTTCTTTGAAAAGAGCAACAAAATTTGACAAGTTTTTTTAGCTAGATGACTATGAAAAAAGAGAAACAACACAAAGTACCAAAATCACAAAAGAGGTGGCATTACATGAGGCCCTACAGAAATTAAAAAAGAATTATAAGGGAATGTTATAAATAGATTTATGCCAACAAATTAGACAACTTGCATGGAATGGACAAATTCCTTAAAAGACACAAATTACCAAAATAGACTCAAGAAGAAATAGAAAACCTGAATACAACAAATAAACTGAATTAGTACTTAAAAATCTTCCCACAAAGAAAACCCCAGGCCCAGACGGCTTCACTAATGAAGTCTAACAAATATTTTAAAAGAAATACCAAACCTTTACATACTCCTTTAAAAAACAGAGGAAAAGGGTATACTTCACAACGCAATTTATGAAGCCAGTATTACCTTTACACCAAAGTTACAAAAAGACATCACAAAACTACAGACCAATATCCCTCATGAACACAGATGCAAAAATCTTTAACAAAGTATTAGGAAATTGAATTCAGCAACATATAAAAAGGATTATACACTGTGACCAAGTAGGATTTATCCCAGGAATGCAAATTGGTTCAACATCTGAAAATTAATTAATGTAATACATCATATTAACAGGATAAAGAACAAAAAACCACATGAACATCTCAACAGACACAAAAAAGCATTTGACAAAATTGAAAACCCATTCATGATTAAAAAAAACTCTCAGGAAATCAGGACTAGAAGGGAACTTCCTCAACATGATAAAAGGCATCTATGAAAAACCTACAGTTAAAATAATAGTGAATGGTTAAAGATTGAATGTTTTCCTCCTAAAAATCAGAAACCACACACCACTTCTATTCAACATTGTACTGGAGGTTCTAGCTAGTACAATAAAAAAGAGGGAAAAAAGCAATTAAAGGCATCCAGACTATAAAGGGAAAAGTAAAATTGTCTTTATTTGCTAATGACATGACCTTGTATGTAGAAAATTCCCAACAAATCCACAAAAAACCTACTGGAACTAATAAACAAGTTCAGCAAGGTCTTCCTATGCAAGAATTTGAAATGATTCAAATTTTCTTTATCACTCAGTAGAGTTTCAAAATTTTCTTTAAGTAGGTTCTATATACTTATTAAATTTGCTCCCAGGCATTTTATCTTTTAGTTGTTAATGGGAATGTATATTTTTTCTTCCATTATTAGTCCTATTGTGTGCTATTTATATAAAAGAAACATAATTATTTATGTACATTAATTTTATGAGCAGTTCCTTTACAGAATTCTCTTAATACTATCAGTACAAGAATAGGCAGGTAGATGAACCAAATAAAACCGATTTCAGAAACAGGCCCCCAAAAGACATGGAAATTTTGTGTATGACAAATGCAGCATTTCAAATATGTGGAGAAGAAATGCATCATTCAATAACTGAAGTGAGGACAACTGGCTAGCCATCTGGGAAAAAAGTGAAGCTGAATCTCCACATTGTATTGCTTTTCAAGTACCATAGTTAACTGAATCTAAAACTACCAATCTTAAGACACACAACTATTTTATGTGGAAGAAAGGAAGGCAAGGAGGAAATGTCAAACTATGACATGCCAGGGATTTATGTCATTCAGAGATGTTAGAATGTGGGGGGAAAGTCAGTCCTACAAGCAATAATGAAGACTTTATAAACCTTAGAGAACCCCCCCACGTCATAAAAGAAAACATCACTAAATCAACCATAAAAAACTAAGACTTCCGTAAGGCCAAAACACAAACGAAATCAAAGATAAGCAAACACTTAGCAAAAATATTTGTCTAACAAATGACAAGGGGCTCATTTCCTTAATATACAAATCAAAAACACCAAACCCACTGCCTTCGAGTCAATTCCAACTCATAGCAACCCTACAAGACAGAGCAGAACTGCCCCACAGGGTTTCCAAGGAGCACCTGGTGGACTCCAACGGCCGACCTTTTGGTTAGCAGCTGTAGTTCTTAACCACTACGCCACGAGGGCTCCTAATATACAAACAGGCCCCGAAAAGTGAAAAGCATGACCACATAGATCACTGAAAAAACGCACATAGCGAACAATGAAAAAAATGTTCAAACTCACTCACAATGAAAGGAAAGCAAAGCAAAACAACATAAAACTGGCAAATATTAAAAAGCTGGACACTAGCTAATACTGACAAGGAGATAAACAGATTCTCATTCTCATAGACTATTGATAACTAGGTCAATTTTTTGAGAATTTGGCAGTTCATCCATCAAAATGTTAAATGTACATACTCTTTGACCCAATAATTTTCCCCTCAGGAATTAATACTGCAGATATACTTTTAAAATACCTGCAAAGATGTACCCAAGAATATTCACTACATTCCCATTCACAATAGCAAAAAAACTGACAACCCAAATATCTATAAATACATGACCAGCTAAATTACGTTACATACAAATACGGGAAAACTACAGAGTGAAATGAAGGGAACAATATAGAAAGTTTAAAAAAAAGCATGCTGCAGAACAATAGGTATGGTGTGATCTCATCTGCATAAAGAATATGTAAATAAAGATATACATATAAATGTTTGCATACGTATGATAATTTTTAGAAGGGCATACACACACACAAATGTTAACAGGGAATGAGAATGGGGAAAAAGCCTTTGACCTTATAACATTCTCTACTGCTTAAGTCTGTACTCATAAACTTGGGTGAGGAGTGAAAAGGTCGAACATGACAATTATCAAAAGGTATGGAAAAAGAGGGAAATCCTAACATAAGTCATTTAAATTGCTACTATTTCCACATCCTCAAGTTTTAAAAGAATTTGCAAGCAAAACAGTCACTGAGAAACTTTAGAATTTTTATGATCATCTATAATTTACACGAGGATATAAGCCACTGGCAGATATGTAAATACCTTGAAAACTGTTAAATATTTCATTTTCTTTCACTTTGTTTGAAAAATAAAAGCACAGTTTTAATATACGCATCCCCATTGACCCCGCTGCTGTCAAGGTGACTCTGACTCATAGCGACCCCATCAGACAGAGCAGAAGTGCCCCATAGCGTTTCCAAGGAGCGCCCAGTGGATTCGAACTGCCGATCTTTTGCTTGGCAGCCGTAGCTCTTAACCACTGAGCCACTAGGGTTCCAACACATGCACCAAAATAGGCCAAAAAGAAAAGAAAGGATCATCTACCTTACTAACATAAGAGAACTGGAGTCCGAAAAGTAATATGCAAGTAATCTGGTTAAGTGAGAGAATATATTGGACTTTATACTATAACATCAATAACATTAATTCTTTTCAATGTACAAATATTTATATCTATATATATGATACTATGCTATTTGTATGAGTCCCTGGGTGGTGCAAGTGGTTAAATGCTCTACTACTAGCCAAAAGATTGGAGATTCTAAACCACCCAGAGGCTTCAACAAACAGAAATTTATTTTCTCACAGTTTAGGAGGCTAGAAGTCCGAAATCAGGGCATCAGCTCTAGGGGAAGGCTTTCTCTCTCTGGCTCTGAGGGAAGGTCCTTGTCCCTTTTCAGCTCTGTTCCTCGGTTCCTTGGCAATCTTCACATGGTGTGGCATCTATCTTGCCCCATCTGTGCTTCCTTGCTTCTGTGCCTAATCTGCTCCTTTAATTTCTCAGAAGTGATTGGCTTAAGAGACATCCTACGCTGATATGCCCTAATTAACATAACAAAGAAAAATCTATTCCCAAATGACATTACATCCACAGGCATAAGGGTTACGATTCCAAGACATATTTTGAAGGGACGCAATTCAATCCGTAACATTCTACCCTTTGATTCCCTAAAATTCATGTCCTTCCCGCATGCAGAACCTCCATCACATCATCCCAAAAGTCTTAACCCATTCCAGCATCAACTCTAAATCTAAAATCTCATCTTCGGAATCATCTAGATCAAGTATGCAGGAGACTTTGAGCGCATTCCATCCTAGCGATCTGCTTCTGAAAGGTCAAAACCCTATGGTCTAGTTCTACTCTGCACACAAAGTCATCATGCGTCGAATGACTCAAAGGCAACCAACAACAATACGTATTTATACATCATATCCATGCCATATATAGGTGGGTATAAAAGGAAAAGGGATTGTCCAGTAAACACAGCGTATGAACCAACAGTAGGTGTGTTCATGTGCAAGCACCTGAGCATCTGCCTGGTACAGGTAAAAATTAAAGATGGAATAAACAGTGTTGGAATACCTCTATAAAGTATAGCAGGCAAATGCCCATCCCGCCAGATCACTTGGCTGAATTTCCAGGCTGCAGATTCCTCCCTTAATCCTACAAAAGTACAAAAATACAGGTTAACCCCAAAAGAGTCAGGATTAGATATATTCTAGAGTCAGGTAAAATAGTTATATTTAAATGTGCTAAATCTGACAAAAATCCTTCCATGGTAGATACTTACAGATTAAATAAAATTAGTAGCAAGTAATGCTTAGTCCAACTGTAATGAACCATCAGTGCTAAATGATATCACAAAGATAAAAAATGACTCATGCACTAATTGGACTTTTTCAAACTTAACTTCTAGTTGAGGATTAAAATTTCTTTAAAATCAAGAAAATAACCTACAATATCTTAAAATGGGAAGAACACAAAATGTCTGTTGTTAAGATCATATTTTGACTCTCCATTACTAAAATAATATTTCTTTAATTTTTTTTTGGTAACATACATATAACAGAAAATGTGTCATTTTAACCATTTTAAATGTACAATTCAGTGGCATTAATCACATTCACAATGCTGTACAACCATCACCACTATCCATTTCCAAAAGTGTTTCATCACCCCAAACAGAAACTCCGTCAAGGACTCCTTAAGCAATAATTCCCCATTCCTTCCCCCCAGTCTCTGGTAACCACTAATAAACTTCATCTCTTTGCATTTGCCTATTATACAATTTCATACAAGTGGGAGCATACAATATTTGTTCTGTCTGATGTTATCTCCCTTGGCATAATGTTTTCACAGCTCATCCATGTGGTAGCATGTATCAGAACATCATTATTTCTTTATGGCTGAAAAATATTCCACTGTACGTATATACCACATTTTGCTTATCCATTCATCTGCTGATGGACACTTGGGTGGTTTCTAATAAAATTCTTTCAAAAATCCCATAGTAACACCTCCCTCAGATCAATAATCTAAATATATTAAGGTTTTAGTTTTTGAAAAATATATTTAAAAATTTCAAGGCAAAGGGTATTTAATAATGCTAAAATGAACTATAGATACTTTTTAAATGTCATGCTGTAATCACCACTTAAGCAGAGACTAACACAAAAAATAAACACCCTATGTTGGTGTTGCACTGATATCGGACAAGTGATATAGATCACTTTCTTCTTACAACTGGTACATTTTTTTCCTTGTACATGAAATAAAAGTAATGAAGATTGAAAGCTGAATTATCAGAAACAAAGAACAGGCCAAAGAAATATTACTCAGAAAAAATAGGTAAAGCATTTCGTATTAACAGCCCTAACCCATATTCTAGCGCTAAATAAATATTGTACGAATCACTAAAAGCTGTAAGTGTAAAAGAAGAACAATGGAAGAAATTTTAAATCTTTAGAAAATAACCAAGTATATAAACTCAAGATTGTGTTTATATAATTTTATCCAGGGATTACAAACACTACAGCCTTTCTGATAATTTGCATTTTCTAGTGCTTAGCCAGTCGGTAGCTTTGCTGCTTAACTAGTTACAGAGAGGACATCTGTTTTAAATATTTATAAGTTCTTAATTGTCTACCTCAAAGTTTTGTAGTCAAGCATTCAAAAGCAGACATACCGTTATCTTCAATTATGCAAAATTAGTTTTTAAATCTTATTTCTATAGCAACAGTACCAAAAAGATCATAAAAGTCATAAAATTTTACTCTTATAGAAGACTTTATTAAAAGGAGATAAAGTAATGCAAAACTGTATCTATACTACACTGCTATTCACTATTAAATTTGTGTGTGTTTTCCAACTTGAAGCAAATAAAATTTCTTCAAATTATGTATTTTAGTATAGATTGAGTCTTTTTAGAAGTTGATATGAAATCTGATATATCTACCCACGATCAAGACATTATAACATCTAATCACATAATACAGTAACACCTACAAACTGGACAAATATTTTTAAAATATTAATATTTTGTTGAATGCATCTCCCAAAAAGCCCACTCACCTTCTTGCATCACTTTTTACTAAAAGCCCTAGATTAAGGCTGTCATACATCAAAGAACATAACTAGGTATGTTAAAAGGAAACAAAAATAGAGCAGCAAGAAGGAAACATCTCTCTCTCTCTCTCTCACACTCTCACACACACACACACACACACTCTAATATAACCTCAAAGTCCACATCCGTAAACATAAATTTTGGAATATCTTTCCTATCACAACCCTTCCTCTACTGTGGAAACCCACAATTTCCCCCTAGAAAAGTAAGATTGCAAAAGTTGAAGTTTTAGAATTATTGTAGCAAGATCCAGATGATAGAGATGTGTTAGTAGTAGACACCCCACAAAAATTATCAAGAATATTAATTTCTAAGGTAATAAAGTTTTTTTGTTTTTTTTTTAATGGTGGAAGAAAATTTGACAAATCAACTCTTCATTTAGAAACACTAACTTCTACTAATGTAGAACAGGCTTATTCTTATTTTGGGCCAATTTATACTCACTTAGAAAATTAAGGACAGTAAAGGCAGAACTCACCACCTGTCTGTCAGTTTGTCGTACTGTGGTGGCTTACGTGATGCTGTGATGCTGGAAGCTATGCCACTGGTACTTCAAATACTAGCAGGGTCACCCATGGTGCACAGATTTCAGCAGAGCTTCCAGACTA